GAACGTGGGACAAGTCATCCTGCGGGTCGCCCCCCTCCCTCCGAACCCGCGATAAAAAGCCCGCCGAAGGCTCTCCACCCGGAGCCTGCTGTTTGTCTCGGGAAATCACATTACGAAGCAAAGTGCAAGGGGTAGTTAACTTTATCTGCTGTTAATGTAAACAAATAAGAAGCATTCAGTTCCTTGATCTTTATTTAAATATAGAGTCGTTTATCAGTGTCATCCTATGAAGATTAATTAGATACCTTTATTCACAATTTGGCGTCTGACACCCCATTTTTAGGAATGCATTATAATCACAAGGTGTTAATTGGGGCCAGCCAGGCACTTACGTTTCTTATTAAACAGTGTGAGGACTTTTCACAAATATTAAGTTCTTTTTTTTTTTTTTTTTCTTTACCGTGCGGTGCAAAAATATACAGCTTTTAAGAGACCGCGACGGAATCGTGCTCAGCGCTTTCTCACCGGTGTTCGCAGCCCGGGAAGGGCGGGCGAGCTGCGGCCGGCATGCCATCACCCCCCCCCCGGCTGGAAACGGGGGACAGCCTGCCTTTCCAGGGGGCTTTTCCGAGAGGGGGTATCCCCCGCTTGAGAAGAAAAACAGGGATAAATAAGTCACCAATCGCTTAAAAAATTACCACAAATCGCCCTCTGTCCCAGATGGGATGTGGCTCCTTGTGTAGGGGGAGAGCTGCTGGGACACCGATTTGTTTCGTTCGCCAAAACGCAGAGCCGGAGCCTCGCACCGAGGAGTGAAGAACTGATCGAAATCTCCTTGGAAATCCGCCGCTCTCCGCTCCGGAGAGGGGGGAACTGCCCGGGGGCCGCTGCCAGTGCTCCCCCCGATGGCGTTACCTCCTCCGGGGCGGACCACGGCCAGAGCCCCTGGTTTATTTTGTTTGCAGCCGGGCATCGCTAACAGTTTAATCCCATTACTGCCTGCATATCCTCTGGAAAGGTCCTGCTGCCGCGGGAGCCGGGATTCAATTGCTCTGCCAGGAGGGGCTTTCTCCCCGATAAGCGGGCAGGGGAATTTCTTACCACGTTCCGGGAAACGGAGGGGGGCCCCGGGACGAGGGCTGAATTCACACCTCGCCTCCCCCAGCCCCGCGGGGGGAAAAAAAAAAAAAAGAAAGACGCACCGTCAGATTTATGGACCAAGTGGGGAGCTCAGAGTTTGGGGGGGGTGTACAGAAGTGTGGCAAACCACGAGAAGATTAAAATAAAACCAAAACAACACCACCCCAACAGAAAACCCACCACACACAGAGCAGCATCCCAACGAACACAGTGCAGGGATTAAGCAGGAAGGAAAAACTTTGCAAGGGATGGCTAGATTTGGAGGCAACTCAGCCCCCAAGGATTATGTTCCCTCCACCTCCCCCCAGCAGGGACACTCAATAGAAGCAAAGAAGCAGAGAGCCACCCCCACACTGATCCCTGGCACCACCACATTTATTAAAAATTACTACTATGTACATAGAAAAAGAAAATGGAACCAAGTGTTGCTGGGAGATGTTTGTGTGCCAGTGCGCTAGGGTTGATCAGTTTAAAATGGCTGAAACTATAGGCAAGAAGAGTGGGTAAGTTACATCACTTCCAGTTTTGTACAGGGCAGCTGAAAGTCACTTTACATACACATATATAGAAATCTGTTCATGTTTTTCATAATGCTCCATATGCTAAGTTTGATTAGCCAAAAAAGAAAACAAAACCCAAAACCTTTTGAACTTCAAAGCACCACTGGAGGTCCTTCTGACTGAACAGCTATAGGTCAACTATTTATACATTATTCCACAATATTCTACAGTGTACCTAGACAAAACACAACTGTACACTTTGTTTTTTTGGCCACCTCAGTAAAGGTTAGGCTTTGGGGATGGAGGCTTTTTTTTTTTAATGCAAGTTCTAAACTAAGAAAAGTCGGATTTGGTCATTGTAACCCCATCATTAGCACAAGACCCTCAAGTCAAAATCCTGCCTGGCAAGCAGGCCTTATTTTGGCCATCTTCTGCCAAAGAAAGCCACAGCTGAGTAATATTTGACTCAGCCAACTGTGCTGCAGACAAGGGTTGAAGAAGCCAGCTCAGTCTAAAGCAGAACATAACATTTGTGCAGCTCCCTGCAACCCAGCCCCCTTGTATCGGAGGGGCAGGCAGGGAAGAAAATTAAATTTGGGATCCAAACCCCCTATTTCCTTGCTCAGGAGTGCGTAGATTTGATCAGGCCTCTGAGCCAAGCCAAACTGTACACTTTAGTGTCTCCAATAAATAAGCCACATTGTAAAAATCTACACTCCTGCTTACAGCTTCCACATGTAGTTCTTTCTAAAAGAGGGGAAGAATTCTACC